TCTCGTAAATCACACAAAAAATGAAATTTGTATTAGGTAAGTCGACTTTGGTGTAATGAGCTCGACCAGAAGGCAAACCCGTTGATTTCGCTGGCAAGGGATTTCAGACCTGAGACCTTCAACATGAAAGTGTCACGCCCAAACTACTGGAGAGTCCAAAGGATAATATGTGAATAATGCATGGGGCAAATATCTCTAAATGTTTCAATAACTTTATAATAATTTAAGAATTCAATTTGAATTGATAAAATTTTTTATTTTTGTGGAGGATGAAGACTAAGAGCGTAAACTTGTCTCTCAAAAAGGTTGCCCCATAAGGGAAGAATAATTCATGCATATTATTAGAAAAAGATTAGGTCCACATCATTGAATGAAAAAGCTCTTAGTCTACACTAATAAATGTGTAAAAGAAATGAGTTCAATAGCAATGTAATGTCAAATTTATAATTTATTTCAAGGCCAAGTTGTCATTTGTTGGGCCCAAATTTCTTAATTGTTCTTATGCATAGAGGACCCCCATTATTGACTCTAGCCATTTTTGAACTTATTTGTGTTTTTGGACTAAATCTCATTGTTGAATTTTGCTAGAATTAATGAAGGATTCACATTGACTTGTAGTCAATAGGAGGCCATTGCAAGTCTTTGGCACAATTATTTGGATGGATTGAATAGCCCATTCAATTTGCTATTTATATATTTATTCAGTGGTATAAACGTAGAACAAAATAATCCGTGTATATATAATAGGAGAAGAAAAAATGTCACGTACCAACATCAAAAAAGAATTTATAAATTATTAAAATTAATTTAAAATATAAAAATCTAAAAATAAAATAAAATTGCAATCACTAAAAAAAGATCAAATTTTTTGAAAATATATTTAATTTTTTTTAAAATACAATTTATAAATTAGTCAAGAAGATCTTTTTAAAAATATCCACTGATTCAATATTTAAAAAAGAAACATATTTATAAAAAAAGTTTAAAAAAATTAAAACGACAATTTCCATATGTCCTCAATATATAACTTCTCAATTTATTTATTTTTTAAAACCATTTAATCTAAGAAATATTCAACATTTTAAAAAAAAAAATTATAAACTTTTCCATATTTCTTTATTAATATTTTAAAACACAATAAGAATTTTAATGTAGTTTTGGAACTTCCTATTACATTCCAACTTATATACAAACTCTAAAAAAATAATCAACAAAATATTAATAAGATTTTTTTCAAAATCTGAAAATAAAAATAAAAATTTCAATTTTGATTGCCAATGTAATCTTGCCGGTTACTTTTGAAAACTAAATAAAATTGTAAACATAATAGAACATGCATATATATTTATTTAAGCACTAGCAAACCCTATTCGTTTGATTTGATTTAAAACAATTTTAAAAAGTTTTTCTATAGATATATTAATTTGTTTTCAAATCATGAAAATAAAAAACATTTACGATTTTCTTTTATGCCCTATTTTTAAAAATAGTAACAAAAATTTTCACATAGTTTTCAAATATTTCTTTTATATAAATATAAATAAATCATAAAAATTAAAGTTGTTAATTTTAAATTTGAATTGAAACCGTTTGTGATTTCTTATTTAATTGGACGTAGCAGAATAAATAAAAAGTAAAGCACACGATGCATACATGTCTATTTTTAATTCAAATTTAAATTTGCAATAAAATTTAAATTTGCAATAGTTATCAGATTATAAATTATTTTGAATTGATTTTTTTTTAAAGATCTATATCCCTAAGGCCTAAACAAAGAAACGGAAACAAAATTAGTCGGAAAAAAACCCAGCTAAAATAACTGTCACGTTGTGAAAAAACAAAATTATTAATTTTAGGGAAAAGGCTCAAAATTTTCAGAATTATTTAGGCCATCAATTAAAAGTTGGCTCATATGTCATTTACTGTTAAAGAAAAATAATGTCACGGAAACAAAACTAGTCGGAAAAAAACCCAGCTAAAATAACTGTCACGTTGTGAAAAAACAAAATTATTAATTTTAGAGAAAAGGCTCAAAATTTTCAGAATTATTTATGCCATCAATTAAAAGTTGGTTCATTTCTGTCATTTACTGTTAAAGAAAAATAATGTCATTATTTTTTTTAGAATTATTATTTTTTATTAAAAAATTGATAACGTGATCGAATTATAATTGGATACATGTCAAAAATGGTTTTGCAAAATCACTGTTAAAAAATAATGGCATGAATGAACTTTTTCTTTAACATTAATGACATTATTGACATAAATGAGCTAAATTTTTAACTAATAACATAAATAAATATTTTCCGAAAGTTTAATGGTATATTTAAGTGTTTTCCCTTAATTTTATCTCTTACAAGCTGCCACTTTATTCAGGTTAAATTTAGTGTGTGCCCACATTCAACAACAATATCATAAAAAAAGATTCTCTAAATATTTTCAAAATATTCAAATTTGTTATCTCTGCTTAAAATTGTCATCGAAATTGCTTTCTGATTCAAATGTTTTTGTTTATGTTGTCATATACAACAACGACATGATTCTCCAAAGTCAGTACAAATATTGTCTCACAATACATATAGAAGTTTCATATGGTGAGTATCCTATTTATTATTGTTATTATTTTTGTCGTTAGTTATTTCTATTGATTTTTTCAATAAAAATTCTGGATGAAAAAGTTTTAGTAGATTTATTGTGACCCATAAATTCTCCCCCTAACCAAAACTCTCAAAGCCCTTAAAATTACATTGTGCATGCTGATTAAGTTAGAAGGAACATTCCTCTATTTATAGAGTCCTAAACCTTTTCCTACAAGAAAAAGATTAGTCAATGTCCATCTTCTTTACTTAATCTTCAACAACTTGCTTCTCCTCTCCAATCTCCTTTGCAAAATTTATGTCTCAACACAGAGAACCCTTTTGAAACAATTTCTCCAACAAAATTTTCATTACTGTCAAAAAAGGTTGCGGCTAGAACTATAACCGTCAAGATGAACACCTCCTTCTAACCTGGTTCAATCATCGATTATCGAACCACTAAACCTGACTCCATCATTGAATTTGGCTCTGATACTACTTGTTAAGACCGGAAATAAGCAGGTGTAAATGCGGAAGCTAGCAATGCAAACCTCGAAAGACCACGAGTAAGAAAACAACAAGAAATATACCAAAAGACACAAAGATTTAACGTGGTTTGGTCAATCGACCTACGTCCACAAAGGAGATGAGCAATCCACTATAAATATGAGAGTACAAAATACAGAGAGAAACAACCTCAACCAATTCACTCGGAATACATGGGAGGTTCACATAAGTGATAACGTATCAAGCTTGTGACCCATAAATTCTCCCCCTAACCAAAACTCTCAAAGCCTTTAAGACTACATTGTGAATACTGATTAAGTTAGAAGGAACATTCCTCTATTTATAGAGTCCCAAACCTTTTCCTACAAGAAAAAGATTAGTCAATCCAAAATATTTTTCTAAAAGGAAAACCTATTTATGGTAAGAAATTTAGGTCAAATAAAACCCAACAAATCTCCTGCTTGGTCTATTTGTTTAACTCAACAAAGAAGGTTCTTAATGTTCATAATTGGTTTGCGGTAAGAAATATCAATAAGAGCACAAGAACTTATGCATTGATTCTGTAGCTTTTTTCCGTCTGTTTTCTTATTATTACTGTAATATTAGATTGATGATTTAGGCATAACACATAAATAAGCACTTTAAATTGATTTTAATTGTTATTTATGTTCTTTAACTTTAGCGGTATATATTTAAATTTATATAAAATTAAATAAATAGACATGTGTGTTCTACAGGCTACATGACATCTTATGTAGCACTTCTCACATCCTACACAACATCTTAAATGCAATGTGTCATGTCCAAAGTGTGTGTTTATTTATTCAACTTTATACAAGATTATGAGTTTGCTTATATATATCTCGAAGAACATATCCTTAACTTGATGTCAACGAACAACTATGAGTCCAACTATGAATGTGCACAAGTAGGCACTTAAACTATTATAAAATTGAAGTAGACACAAATGTCTTACATCATAAGCGTATCTAGGAGGGGTCACCAGACACTGGATTCATGTGAACCCATGCTCCCGTCAGAGGAGGATCCAAAATTTTCAATAAGGGGGTTCATAACCTATAGAAATAGATAGCCGAATGGGGTTTGACATCTACTATATATACATATAAACTTATTTTAACCATGTATAAATAATATAATTATCCGTCGAAGGGAGTTCAGATGCAATGTAGCTCCTCACCTAGCTCCCATCCTAAAATCATATATAGTATTGTTATATTATTTTTTAAAATATTTAAATATAGATATATGAACCCACACTTGAAGTATCATACTATGTGATTATGAGTGGGTGCACCTCTCTAAGTGAGTTAAGAAATTTAAATCTTTTATTTATCTTGTTTTACTTTATTTTTTAGAATTGGTTAGTGCCTCTCTAAGTTGTTTGGATAGGTAAAAATAACTTTGGACCTATAATTTTAAAATTTTAATTATTTTAGGTGATAGAACCTATATGTTAAGTTGGTCAAATTTATATCTTAGATCCACTTTTTTATAGTAGTGCACCCATCATCTCAAATTCTGAATACGATGTCATATATGCATATTCAAAACTAACTATTATAGTTATCAATTTACGAATTATATTTATTTATTCTGTCTTCAAAAATTAATAAAATAAAAAATAAAGACAGATGGAAAAAGAAGAAGAATGAGGTGAAAAGGGCAAAAGTGCTGCATGCATTCCTCCAACACGTAAACTTTCTGTTATATTATTCCGCGTCGTTTTTCGTCACGTTATTCCATCCTTGTTCCCCATTATTTTCTCATACAGACCGTCGATTTACAATCCAACGGTTCAGATCAAATTACGAATTGTTCTTTGCTTTCTCAAAACAAAAATCTCGTGAAAGCCATTTTTGATCTATAAAACAAATCGAACGGTCCAGGTTTAATTCTAAGATTTAACGGCTAAGATCAAAAGAATAGCTGATCTCGATTTTGTTTTTTCTCTTGTTCCTATTTATACATGCAGGAGTTTTTCTTCTCATTCACCCTTTCTCCTCTCTTTGCTTCATCAATCTGGTTAGTATGTTTTCTTATACTCTTTCAATTTTTGCGTTTATCTACATTCAGATTATATGGTTTTGAGTTTAGCTTTATACACATTTGTCTTCTTTTGGCAAGGTATGGAACAGTTATTTCTGGTTTTTTTTATTTCCATTTTGGGTGTCTGCTTCAATTTTGATGGTAATGGGCAGTGACAGAGCTACTGGGAGGTTCGTGGGTTCAGACGAACTCAATAACTTTTTCGTAGATTCTGTATTTGTACTAAGAAATTAATTAAATATATATATATATATATATATATATTAATTTGTAAATCCACTGCTAATGGGGAGTTTAGGATTATATATTTTCCTGTTTCGTCAATTTTTTCATGTTTCAGGTGTAATGACATTTATTTATGTTTATGGTTTGCATGGTGTGAGGGGTTTTGCCTCCAGGTGTTCTTTAGGTGATAATACGTAGTACTAGTTGAAAGGACCAGAAACTGTACAAATTTCTGAGATGAAAGGCCTGATTTTCATTATTCTTTGGCATTTATTTTTGAATTTATGCTGAATTGGGTACGGAACTTGGGATAGAAAGGAATCAGATAACTGCACCCCAGATTTTCGAATTGATGCTTAATTGATTGACATTTGATATATCTAGTTTCGGCTGCTGCTATTAGTACTTAGAATTTTCCTATGATTTTGTGCCTAAACCATGAGTTTGCAAGTGATTAGTTTGCTAAAATGTCATGATTTAGAAGGTTTTGAGGGTTTATTAAGAAGAACTTATTTATTTATTTGTCTTGGTTGAATGTTATAATAGTGTTGTTTTCTAGATTGATTGGCTAAATTGAATAATGATTTGAAATCTAATAGGTCAATATGGGAGCAAAAATATTTCTTGTTGCACTGTTTCTCTCAGCACTGTTAATTCCATTAGCCTCCTCATCAAATGATGGCTTTGTTAGAATTGGGTTGAAAAAAATGAAATTTGATCAAAACAACCGACTTGCTGCACGCCTTGAGTCCAAGGAGAGGGACCTTATGAGGCCATCTATTAGGAAGTATAACTTCCGTGGTAAACTTGGGGACTCTGAGGATACAGACATTGTAGCACTAAAGAACTATATGGATGCTCAATACTTTGGGGAGATTGGTGTAGGCACTCCACCTCAAAAGTTCACTGTGATCTTTGACACTGGTAGCTCGAATTTGTGGGTGCCATCATCCAAGTGCTATTTCTCTGTAAGATTTTATACATGGTTATGATACAAAGCATAGTAACGAATAGCCATGCATCCGTCTTGAATCTGATGATTGTCTTTCTTGTTGCAGGTTCCCTGTTTCTTTCATGCCAAATACAAATCTAGCCTATCAAGTACTTATAAGAAGAATGGTATGTTATTTTTTCGTTTTTGTATATGGATGCAAATACTTTCTTATGGTTTGCTAGCTTGTTGCTATGTGAAACATATGCTGCCTTCTGATGTCACTTATTAAATGCTGCTAACTTTAGAATATGTGCGGTGTGCCTTCTTGTTCATATGGAATATGGTGGGGTGTACAGGGTTTTCTCTCAGAGGGCCGGGGGTTTATCTCCCTGTACCCCCCTTTCTTATTGTCCTCGTATGTTTCTCACGGTGCATGAAGGAATTCTCTTGGAAAGGTTAAATGATGAGTGTGTGTCTCAGACTGTTGGGACATAAATGGAGGCTGTTTATTTTGTATTTCTCAGTACATATCATGGTTGGATTTTGCAAAGAACATTAATGTCAGTGTTATCAAAGGTGAAAAGAGCAAAAAAGCTCTAAGGCCAGTTGGTGCTTTAAGCGCGAAGTGCAAATAAAGCATGGGCTTTAATGATAAAAAGTGCAAAGGGAGAAAAAAAATACAAATATATATACATATGTATGTGTGTGTGTCTTTAGTCCAAGACTAATGATTACAAACATGAATGAACAAAGAAATTGAAATAAAATAAATTATGATACAGTGAAATATCAATTGTATAGTGTCACTTCTTCAAAAGAAGCTCATTGGCAAAGGAAAAGTTTGCTTTAAAACCTTGAATACGACAACAGCAGTGCACATAAAGCGAGGTGAAGCTCTCAACACATTTTGAGCCTCACTTCAGGGCTTAAGCGCGCCTTTGACAACACTGTTAAATGCTCTCTCTGCGGTGAGCTTTTTGGTGTCTAGTTGTGATTCTAACCTCTGGTTCTTTCTGTATAGCTGGAAGATCTTACTTCTTCCTAATTAACTAAGTTTTGCATCTGTGTCTTAGCAAGTTTTTCTTTAAAAAAATAATTGCATAAAGAACTAATTATTGTTGCATTTGTGTTCTATCACAATTCCATTAGCAGTTGACTAGGTTTACTAGATGTGGTAACTTGCTCCTACCTTGTGAATAATACATCAATCTTGTCAAATGCTTCCACGATACCTTATTTTGCATGGTATTTCCTGTGATATAATCCGTGATAATTCTTCAATTTGGCATACAGGGGAGTCTGCTGCAATTCAGTATGGTAGTGGAGCTATTTCTGGATTCTTCAGTGAGGATAATGTGAAAGTTGGTGATCTTGTGGTAACAGATCAGGTAACTACAATCACCCCTCAGTGCTTTAAATTGTCTTGAATTATAAATCTCATATCTCAAGGTGTTAATGTATTAGGAATTTATTGAGGCAACCCGAGAACCAAGTGTCACATTTTTGGTAGCCAAATTTGATGGTATATTGGGCCTTGGATTCCAGGAGATTTCTGTTGGAAATGCTGTTCCAGTTTGGTATGTGGATGATGCTTTGTTTCCTCTCTTTCTTTCCCATAGACCATATTCATGCTCTACACCGTCTCTTCTCCAGATGTTGCTTAACACATTAAGGACTAAATTTTCATGAATGTAGGATATGCTGGATGTCTCTTTTTGGTTAAATTCGCTTTGATGATTAACCTGGGCAGCATCTTCTGTCTTGTCCAGGTACAACATGGTCAAACAGGGCCTTATCAAAGAGCCCGTCTTCTCATTTTGGCTCAACCGAAACACAGAGGAAGAGCAAGGTGGAGAAATCGTGTTTGGTGGTGTTGATCCTAATCACTTTAAGGGAGAAATCACTTATGTTCCAGTCACGAGGAAAGGTTATTGGCAGGTGGGTTATCAATTGGATACTGTCTGCATGTTCATGCTTTGTATAACTGCTATCTTATCTTAGTAATATGATTGGCAGTTTGACATGGGTGATGTTCTGATCGATGGTAAAGCTACCGGTATGTTTTGCTTCTGTACCTTTTGAATTGGATTGCCGAATTAAGGGCTGTTATTGAAAGTCAGTCTCTACCTGGATATAGAATCTGCATTTTATTTGAGTTGCCTATATGAACACATTACGCAGGTTACTGTAAAAGTGGGTGCTCTGCTATAGCAGATTCAGGGACTTCTCTCTTGGCTGGTCCAACGGTAATATAGATAGCCCTCAAATTGGAATATTAAACATGTCAATTTTTTTTGTTAGTATTATTGTCTTAATTGTTTCCACCATCACTACTAGCATTTCCATTGTTGATTTTCTTGTTTCTCTGAACCTTCCACAGCTTTCTCCACTACAGAAGTGATGTATTCCTGTGATTCATGAGTTAATAACAAGAAGTCCATATCTGTGTTGTGTTTCAATTTTTCATTCACATAGAGGACAGTACTGAAATTGATAATGTCTTTGAATTTATCATCTTTTAGCTTTATTAGCTCGGCCAAGTTCTGTAAATCTTCTTCTTTCTTTGGCTTGTTCTGTTTAATGGCCAAAGCTGCCACAGTAGGTACTGTTGTTTTTTGCTTCTTGCTGATGGTCTCGCTTTTATGATATTTTAAATGAGTGTAACGCTTCTTATTCTGCCTTCATCGTTCTCTCTATTTATTTGCTTAAGCTTCTTCTATTTGAGAAGAAAATTATCCAACTTGAAATCTGTAGCCAATTTTATCTTGTTAACTTTATAAATGACATCAATATAATCTACGGAGAAAAATCTGCAATTGTTTGTCTCGGCAATCGTAGACCTGAAATGTTTCCAAGGCTGATCAGTCTCAAAACGTCCCCTTTCTTTCAGACTGTAATCACTATGATTAATCAAGCTATTGGAGCCTCTGGAGTTGCAAGCCAACAATGCAAAGCTGTAATTCAGCAGTACGGGCAAACAATCATGGATTTGCTGTTAGCAGAGGTGAGTATTCAACTGTTTAACTGCATTTTCATTTGTTTGATGTGCGATGGCTGCAGAATAGCAGTTGGTATCTATATGTCTTTCCTAGTTATCTCATTGGTCAGCTTTTAAGTAGGCACATCCAAAGAAGGTCTGCTCACAGGTTGGAGTATGCACTTTTGATGGAACTCACGGAGTCAGGTTAGTCTTCAGGCTCTATTTGCCCTGCTGGGACCATATAGTGCATTAGTTAATCCATCATGCTGATATAAATGCTGGATCTTGCTGTGGCCTTCTTCTGCAGTATGGGAATTGAGAGTGTAGTGAATGAGAAAGCTGGCAGATCAGCAGGACTGCATGATGGTATGTGCTCTGCTTGTGAAATGGCAGTCGTATGGATGGAGAATCAACTGAGACAAAACCAGACTCAAGATCGCATATTGGACTATCTGAACGAGGTAAAAAGTCCTGTTGCTATAATTTTCTCTTGTTGTTTGATACAGAATGCTGACTGACTGACCGACAGCTTTGCGAGCGTCTCCCAAGCCCAATGGGAGAATCAGCTGTTGACTGTGGAAAGCTTTCTTCCATGCCTACAGTCTCCTTCACAATTGGTGGCAAAGTGTTTGACCTCTCCCCCAATGAGGTATGCTTTAAAATGGATTTTGACTGTAATACTTAGCTATGCCTGTCTAGTGCAACATTTGTCAAACAGGAAAAGAAAAAAAAAACAAGAAGTACTTCTATATTTGAGATTGTGAGTAGTTGGATTTTCCCAGTCTTTCCTGTTCTTTCAATGAATATTTTCCAACATTCAATGTGTAAAGTTGCAAGTCGATGTGTGGATCCTTTTCAGTTTTTTCCAGTTGTGTTCCTTTTAACTTTCTGTCGTAGATATGAATGTATGTACGTACTGACTTTGGATTCTTTTCCTGCTATTAGTACATACTCAAAGTTGGCGAGGGTGATCAAGCACAATGTATAAGTGGTTTCATTGGCTTGGATGTTCCTCCTCCCCGTGGACCTCTCTGGTAAATTTATCTTCCTATGTTTTCTCTTTCGAAGGGTTTATAAATATCCAACTATCCTTTTAATGATGTACTCTCCATGGATACAGGATCTTGGGTGATATTTTTATGGGTCGATATCACACCGTCTTTGATTATGGCAAACTCAGAGTTGGATTTGCTGAAGCAGCTTAATGTAACTAATGCCTCTACATTCACCCCTCTAATATATAAAGAGAGAGATATAACAAATGCGATTGAATGTATGAGCACTCTAAGGTTTTAGAGAAACCATACTTGTAAATATTTGCCTTTTCTCTGCACTGCTACTATATACATGTGTGTTTTACTGATATTTGTGAAGAGAGCTTAAATTTACTTCATCAATTGTTCCTTGCGTGTGCAAGAATAATATAAGTTCACTTTCTTTATCTAATTTTAGCTACAGAAATCAGTTAGAGAATGTATCGTCTTTTAAGACCGGCGTGTATGGTATGGAAGAAAACATTTTCTGATTTTTTTCATATAAATATTTTGGAGTTCCTGATTAAATTTTAGGACACGTTGGTCATTGAATATGAAGAACAAAGTCAGCTGATTGATTCACGTATTGAACAATGATGTTCAGATACACCTAAAACACAAGACATCTAAACGAAGGACTTAAAAAAAGTCGCCTCAGCCACGTCTCTTAGCAAGAATGACAATCTAATTATATCACCCTTTAAATAAAATATATAGTAAATTCCAATGTTGTCACTGGGAAATGATTATATGGTAAAATTGGTAAAGTAATCTCCAAACTGGACAAGTAAAAATGAATAGAGGATGAGTAACGGTGGACAGAGAAAGTAGTTCAATGTTAAGGTCTAACTAAAATAAGTTGTCAACTATAGTCTTGGACAGTTAATTTAGGACAACTTTTCTGAGCTAATGTGATAGTTAAATAGTTGGCAACGACAGCAGAGACGGATCACATTTCCTGGTGATAGAGTAATACTATACGTTGAAAGAAGAAGTTTCTAGTATTCATAATGTTTAAACCCCTTTTGCATTACGACATGAAGACTATGATAGAGAAAAATGAAAAACACTCTCAGAGCTTTGCATTCTTACACTTAATCGTCCAGCTTTTGAGCAGGGACTTACCAAGGTAGTGACAAATTCATCATAGAAATTGCAGGTCTTTTCACAGGACTGGGACATGGTTCTTTATGAAACCTTCTTGCTATCAGAACGTGACAACGTACGATCCAGTGATTGCAATTGAGAACGAAGGTTTTGGTTTTCCTCAAGTAACCGGTCATATTCAAGAAGAAATCCTTCTGACTGCTTTTTTAGAGCACCTGCATTGGCTTCAGCACTGCTTGCTTCTTTGGCCTTCTCCTCCAGTTCTAACTCCAGCTGCCTAATTTTTTCACGCAATGCACTTGCCTCTCCCTCCAAAGTTTTGATCTCCTCTGAAGCCCCATTCTTTCCATCCTCAAAGGCTCTGTTTTGCTTTTTCACAGCTTCCATTGTCTTCCTCCTCATACTAAGTTCTCTTATATAATGGTGTAGTCTATCAATCATAAAGGCAAGGAAGAGGGAGAATCCTGCACAAAAGGTTAATTGTGAAATCCAAAAGTCGAACAACACCAAAAGAAACTGGGAACTCGGATAAAATGCTTAAACACTAATAATTTTGCGAAAAAGAGAATAACTATCAGTTGATAGCTCATTTCACATCTCATAGCAGTAACAGTGGAAACATAACCATCATTAGTGACATTTATGCATCATTGTGACAAGATGACTTGAAATGAATCAATAGCTCGCAAAAAACAATTTCCATGCAGGAATGTTCTTCCAATTTTTCTATCTTGATCCATGAGCATTTCCCAACAATATTTTTTCCAAAACCAATAAATCCATGAGGGCTAGTGGCACACGGTTTGAAATTCAATGGCGAACAGGCTTTTCCCCACTACCCTTCCCCATTAAAATACCAAACTTCAGTCTTAGGAAGGTGTAAACCTATGACATGCTCCTAACCCACACACTACATCTTACGTTCTTACCACTAGATCAAAAAGCTCTAGTAGCCCATTTCCTTGAGATTCTTCCTAGTCTAAACTTCTAGTCCTTTTGATTGAAAACTTCCAAATCCAAAAGAAGGGAAGAGTCGAGCATTACTCTTATATATTAAATACCCATATAACCACTCCACAGTAAGATAACGCTCTTTACGGGTATCACTCTAAAAGACGGCTGAGACTTTGTATGTGTACATACATATAAGAAATATAATAAATAATGATCGTGCCACCTGGAGAACTGATAGAAAGAAAGGTGCCAGTGGTGAAGGGTCAAGTTTTACTCTCAAGGACTCGTCTTTAATTCCTATCTGGTGCACACATCAACATGGTATCTTAATTTTAAAACTTTTTAACTTAATCTTTGTTGAACTTTTTTCTTTTATTAAATTTGGACGAATTGCATTTTCTCTCTTTATTTTAAGCATAAAAGATAAATAGTTTCCCTCTTCTAAGCTGTATGCCTTGAGCATAATTGTCATAATTATTACATTTTTTCATTCAGTTATTTGTCTTTATATATAAAAAGAAAAACATAACACAAACCGAAACCCAAGGTTGGTCAAACAGATCAAATGTACTCTATTTGGATCAAGTAAATGGCAACACCTACGTTCACGATAGTGGGCAACCAGAACCTCATGTTCTAGATCTGCCTCTGCTGGCAATCACGAGGGAGAACAAGGCAAGGATGACAACGTAGTTCATCTAGACAGTAAGCACAAATGTAATTTCACAGATGCAAGTTTCAGAACTATCTCAGTAAATATGTCCTGATTCAAGAACCTGGCAGAATGCCTAGTGAAACATCTCAGCTTAAGAATAACTCTAGCTTAGAAATAAACAGCCCAGAAAGGCCAACACCAGGCCATGATATGTTTGAATGTGTACCTTTACCTTCTCCTTCCTTCTTATACGAGTTGAATAATCAATTAACTAGAACAGCAGAAGGCAGAGTAGTGACTAGAACATAAAAGTAGATTGTATTTGTGGTTGCACTCAAATCATCCATTCTCATATCGAATATTTGCTAAATGCTGACTTAAGAACACATTAAAGAGATTGTTTTGAATGAAAACTAAATTGCCTTTCGGGAGCACCCTCGGCATGTCTTTGTAAAGAATTAATAAAACAAATTATTGAATACAAACGTATAACATATAATTAAATACAAAAACCAACAGATAATGCTATCACAGATATAGATCAACCCCTCCCCCAAAAAGATAAGAAAAAAAGAATCAAAGTGAAGGAGAGTGGTTGAGATGCAGACAGTGAAGAACAGATCAAATAGAATTTTATCAAGTGAGTATAATCCATAGATCATTATTCCATTACACCCTTCTACGGATCAGATATCAATTTTTGGTCGGAAGTAATTTGTAGAGGAAGGCAGAAGTAAAGTCAGAGCATATTCACATGGCAGTTTATATTCAACTATAGTACCGACATAGTACTCCCGTCTTTAAGGTCTTAGCTAGACAGGGAGTTAAGAATTTAAAAATAATTTTAACATATAAGCTAATTATATGAAAAGTACCAAAGTTATCTATTAAATGAGTGGTGGTTAGAGTTTTAAATGACTTTTTATTTTGTATCCCTGTATAAAAGAAATGAGTTTTATATCAAGAGAGAACTAAAAAATCCTGTCATTAATGGTAACATGGGAATGATAAGCTTATTTAGTTTCTACGAAGGAAAATGTAGCATTCTTTGGGACAAACTAAAAAACAAAAACGGAATGAAGGAAGTAATCTTTTATCTAGTATTCACAATGAACACTGACTGGCCTATAGCCAGATGCCACAGGTGAAGAAAACATGCATAAGTTTGCAAAGTTGACTGTAAAAGCAGGATCTCCACCACTCCATTCTAAGCCGCAGTTTTACCAAAATAAATGAGGTATTGAGGTTTCCTCCCTTTTTTAAAGAACTTAAGTTATGCATTCTGAACATTTTTTCGAACACTCTATGCTTAAAGAAATGAAGATCGATGATTTTATATAGCAGAGGATAATAAGGTCGACAACAGTTGTGGTGCAAAAAGAAGTGTGTCAAACTAGCATTTAAAGTTTTTAGCATGTCCCATTCAATCATTGATACACAGATCGTCATGAAATACTCATAAGTAGTCACTTATCAAAAGTAATAAAGCATTGTTTGGAGAGGACTGAATAGAACCACTATCATATGACAAGGTTCTCAAAAAGAACTAGAGAATCAAACTCTAATTTGACACTTAAGCTAACAAACTGAAAAAGTCAACATTATTCAGATCAATTAGACCTTCATTAGTATAGACTATATACAAATGAAATAAAAGGTATAAGCTTCACTGAATAAACAAACTATAAAAGCTGTAATTCCTAGTAAATCACTGATGCTTACTCATACTTCCGAAGCAGTATACATATGAACAATAATTCAAATCATTCAGTTCAAAAGTTGCAGGGATAAGGGAAGAGAAGAGTTTCAGTTTATAAATGCAGCAATACAGACAACAATGAAGCAAAATAGATATACTAGAAAACATAAAGAAAAAGAAAAGTATCATAGAAGAGGGGATTGAATTTCCAAAATCAGAACAAGAGGAAGGTTTATTTATAGGTAGGTGGATTTCTACATACATATGTGTGTATAGCTAATATAAATGAATGTGTATAGTTTGAGTCTGAGATGGTAGTGCAGGTGAACCCACTGTTTGCATGCTGGAGAGCTGATACTGCATACAAGCGGTGGATGCACGTGCACGGCATGTGCTATAAAAGCCATTGTTTCATTGCGTAAAGCGATGAAGCGATGATTTAGGAGTTATAGCTTCATGCGTGAAGCCATACATTTCAGAAAAGCGTACGCGTCAACGATGATGCAACTGTTGAGGATTTTGATTTTATCTTTATGGTAATTTTAATTTTCTGTAAACTTTGTGTTTCACTACAAAGAAGCATGCACTTTGCTTCACCATATTCGCTTCAAGCCCCATGAACCTTATTGTTGTTTTACACCTTTTGCTTTGAGAAGAAGTACACTACTATCTCACACTCAAGCCTCATTTGTTTGCATTGAGATAAAGACATTTGAATCTGAATGCACATTTAAATGATAAAATGTTGCTCTAGATCTGGACACTGAGTGATACAGACTGTTTGTTTTTCTTTGAAACTAATTTTTTTTTGAAACTAAGACTCTTTGTTTTTTCAACATCTGAATGTGCATAAATTATTTATTTTTAAACATAAGAAATATATAATTTGAATAAAAATTAATTAAATATTAGGAAAAAACATAAATTTAATAAAATAAATCATTATTTGATATAAAGAATGTAACTTTATGTTCGCTAGTAATGGTGGAGATGGTTTGTGGTGGTGGTGGTGACAGGTAGTGTCAATGGCTAGTAATGGTGATGGTGATAGTTGTGATGGTAGAGGTGGTTATTGTTGTAGTGAGCGATGCAATGGTGGCGGTTAGTATGGTGCTGACGGTAATTGTGATGGTGGAGGTGGTTAGTGTTGTAGTGACTGGCGTGACAATGGTAATGGTGGTTGTGATGGTGGAGTTGGTTGATGTTAGCAGTTGGCGGAATTGGTACTGGTGGTGGAGTTGGTTGATATTAACAGTTGGTGGTATTGGTAGTGGTGGTTGACAATGGTGTTGGTGGAATTTGGTGATAGTTGTGATGGTGGAGGTGGTTAGTAGTAGGAATTGGTCGTGGCGGTGGTCGTGCTTGATAGTGTTGGTGGAGGCGGTGATGGCAGCAGTGCATATAATAATTACAGAGGTGGTAGGTGTGGTAGTGAGTGACAATACTTGTTGTCAGTGGTAAAAGTGGTGCTAGAGGTGGTGGATCGAGGTGGCGGTGAAAATTTTCCACACAAAAATATAGGTTAATGATATTAAGAATCAGTAAATAATGATCAAGATCTATTACACCGAGCGAGTGCTAACTTTCATATAAAAAATACGCTTAATGACCTAAGGTTTGAACCATTCAGATTTAGAATACAAACAAATGAGGCCTCAAACTATGTTCTTTATGCATACAACAAATTTGAAGGAACATCTGCGAATATGTATACCTACTACCTCCAAATCCGAAATCTGCCTCTACTGGCACAATGTTGCAGTCCACGCACACATATTTTATATAAATTTAATTTATCAATTAATTAATTTACATCCATAAGTTTCAGAAATAATTAATACTTCATCAGTCAAATTGTGGCACTTTTGTATTTCGATAGTCTAATTTTTAGTTTTGACCATTAATTCACACAAGAAATTAAGATTTTAGAATAAAATTTATTAAAATAATTAAAACACCTCGACTCTCGAAATCCAAAGGCGCCGAATAAATTGGAACGGTGCAAATAGTATAATCACATCGGATAAACAAGTCAACATCAAAACTGGTAAATTAAATTAGAGAGATAGAATATGAGAGTTCAGTTACCCATAAGAGAAGCTTCTAGAAGATGTTGAGCCAAAAGAATCTGATCAGTAGGAGTAATATCACCACCTTCATCAACCCATCGCGTGTGGATCGATGCAACACTGTAGATTGTAGACATCATAACCACGAAAACAGTTCCAGCAACAGTTTTCACAATGATTGGTCCTCGTCCTCTCTTCACTCGATCAAGCCCCATTATAACAAGCTTCCTCAATGGCGTTTTGAAGACGAAGATGATGATTAATGCCATTTCAGCAAAAATCAAAGTGAAAAGTAACTGAATCATAATTCAAATCGATTTCAGAGTCAGCTGACAAGGGCGACCACCACGAAGAAAAAGAAGAAGAATTTGATTTGGAGAGGTTTTTGCATCTTCAATTGCATTTATGCATACAACTCTTAATTACACTCAGGTCCTTCAACTTTTTAGAAATGTAAATTTGGTATTCTTTGGTTGGTGTACTGGGTTTGGGGCTTCTTTAATTATTATACTTCCATTTTCATTTTCATTTTATTTTATTTATATTAATAATAAGTAGTAGTATTTTATTATTAATTATATAATTAGTCAAATTTAGATTTTTAACATATAATTGATAAGATTAATTTATAAATAAAATAAATCTCAGATAGATACTTTAAGTTTTGTAACACTTGGTGAATTTCTTTTATGTTGTATTTTTATACGAAAACTATCAAAATTTCTTCAATTGTTATACAATTTTATTTGAATAAATAAGATATTTAAATATTCTTAGCCAAGATAAATAGCTACTCATGTTTCTTTATAAGTAAATATTAGCGTTTACAAATTTTCAAACTAATGCTTGAAATTTTATAAAGATCTACTAGTCAATGATGGTGGTAAATATTAAAATTTTTAATACAATAAAAGTTATATTGTATGCATAATCTTTTAACGCTGAGCATGAATTTTTTAAGTTAAAATAATGAGTCAGTCTTCTTCTTCTTTCTTTTTTTACAAAATATAAATTCATGAGTCAAGTTTGCATTTCTTTAAAAATTAAAATAGTGATTTGAAATCTCAAAGTCATATTTATTTATTTTTTAGAGAGAATGAAATTTGTAATTATAATTTCAAATTGCATATATAAATTTGAAATCATAATTTTATACCGTTTGTCTAAACGCAAGTTTAATATTAAAGGCAAAATAATACAAAATTAGTTACTTTTATCTTCGATTTATAATTAATACTAATTCTTTTGAAACGAAAACTTTTACCAACCTTGCCAATTAAAATGTGACAGCTAGTATAATATAAGCCTAAATTGACTTGTAAATGAGGCTAATAAATCCTTTGTACATGTGATTGCTTTACTTTTTATGAATTAAAAAAAAAAAGTAAATTCCTAAAATAAGTAATTTGTTTGCTTGTTCTGGTTTGGAATTAATTATACCAAATGATAGAAACTTCCATTAGGATTAAATTAAACAGAATTTTGTTTTCACATTAATAAACAAATGAGTGGAGAAGTTTAATCATTCAACAATAGTCAAAATTGTAATGGATTCAAATTTATGGTACTCAAGTTAGAATTGTTGTTCCCCTTTGAAAAGAAAAAAATAATTTATTTTTCTATACTTGTATAAGCATAGCAATGAAGGCTCAAAAAAAATTTAATTGAGAGAGTATTATTTTATCTTCTTTTATATTATTTTTCATTTTTAAGTAATTGTATAGAATATTAATAAGCAATTAAAAATTTTGAAGTACATTTAGTGTGAGGGTGATTCAATAAAATAAACATTTAATAAATACTCCCCAGACCCCGGCCTAATTTAATGGTTATCTTTTTTATAACATATTAAGTTATTTTTATTTAACAAAAGCAAATTGAATTTTTTTTCTTTTAAATTATGTATAAAAGTGAATTGAAGAAAAGGGGTGTGGAGTATTTATTACCTTAATTTTGTTATAGGCATTCATGCCTTGGGAGTATCAATAATAAAATTTCAACAATTTAATGTTTCTACATACTCCAATAGAATTTTTCTATTGGAAATTTGTTACCATTACAACAACAAGTAAGATTACAAGTTCCTTTTTTTTCTTCTTATTTTACTACTCTTTTGTGTTCCAATTTATATATTGCCTTCTTAAAAATCGATAATCATTAATATTTTTTATTCTATAAAATCAACATATGAACAACACTATTCTTTCCTGTTTTATCCATAAAAGTTATTGCCCTTAAAAATATAAATTTAATTAACATTGGACAATTAAATGATTAATTTATATTTATTAGTCAGTTTAATTAATATTAGACAACTAAATGATTAATTCATATTTATTAGTCAGTTTAATTAATCAAATTAAATTAATTTATATTCACTTATTGAAAATTTGGTTTCAAAAGGACACTATACTAGGATGATTAACTTACCTAATTTCTTGAGAGACGTGAAATCTAAAACAGTGACATAGAAAGAAGAACGGAGGGAGTAATAACATATGTGATAGTGTAAGAGGAAAATAAGCATATGGGGAAGAGGAAGCTTCTGCACCAACAAGGATTGTACTGGAGTGATAAATACTCTTTTATTCTTCAATATAAATATCGAACACCGAATATAAAAAATAAGTGCCTGTTATAGCTAACTTGTACTTAAACAACTTAATTGTTGAGCTAAACATTAGCTTCCAACTACAATTCATTTTGGCTCATCGAATTGAAAATACTACTGATATACCTACTATACTACTTATATGAATACATTTTTTTCCCCAATAGACTAGTTAGGCACATAACTAAATATTAAAGGCTAGACTAAATTTTAATTTAATTCAAGCTCGATTATACTTCCAAACATATTGCACTAGATAAAATTACGTCTATGTCTAAATTGTTCGATATTAATGGTTTTTTGGTGTATATAAATAATAAAAGCTAGAAGGGTTGAAAATAGGTTTTAAATTTTAATTGTTGATACAATTATTTATTCAAATGTAAAAATTAAAAACACTTCTCCTGTACTTGATTAATAAAATTAGTATAGTAAGACAAATCATCTTTAAGAATATTGTGTATTTCTATAAGAGGAAATATTTTGTGTCAATGTATTACCATTTGTCATTTTAAAGCAACCACAAACGTTCAAGTATTCTTTTTATTCAAACATGGTGTTCGTTATTTATTTTAAGTTTCCTTCGTGAATTGATGTCATTTGTAGCAGAAGTCTATAATTATGTCTTATTAGTTTTACTTTAATTATTTTTGAGCTATGTTGAATTTGAAGTTTTGATGATCGACAACTAGTGTACATAAATCGAATTCTTAACATGTCATAAATAAGGGACAAACGATTAGACAAGAATCAACTTATTCACAAAATCAAGTGCAATCTTGAAAGATTTAGTTTATGGCATAAATAGTGGATCAAGGAACTAGAACTCAACATGAAGATATTACTATATTTGAACACTTGAAATTAGAAGAAACCATATGAAGGCTTTCTTGATAGAAATGGTACAATGTCTGTTTGACACACAAAGCTAAATGTGCTTGTCTACAAAATTGTCGTTCCAACTAGTTTGAGAGGTCAAGAAAATTGAATAACAGATGACAATAGCTCTCCTAAAAGCAGTTGTTGCCAAGGTCCTGCCTAAGAAAATAGGGAAGCTCTTTTAACAGTGACATAATATCCTAAAGCATGTCAACCAATACCGCAAAGTGTGATGTAGATCAAGATTGGCAGCTCAATGATATATGAGATGGTGCACCGCTTAAGAAATCACATTAGCCAGACCTCCACAGAGAACTTTGGTTATATTACTTGCTCAAAGTATTCATTCCCAAGTCAAAATTTTGACAGTATTCACACATGAGATTGATCACATATTCAGTGAGGGTAGAAGGGAAATACTCTTCTTCAGGGTTTTCCGTGCTCGCCAGTGAATGGCTGCTGCAGTTTCTGATGTTCCCAACTGAACAGTAGTTTCAAGGAAAAAAAAAAGAATCAGCACTAGATATGCTTGCTCATTTATCCATAGTCCATGACCATGAGTAACATCACAAAGTTAGAACATACTAATAAATAGCGGCAGCAAATACTTCCACACCCAAAGCCCATTTAAGAAACCTCCCCACTACCTTCAACAATCGCTGGATCATAATCTTTTACAAAAGCATATGTAAATAATTAGTGGCACAACACACATCATTACTCACACTAATGAGTTAAGCCAATTAAACAATGCCTTGAAATACTAGAAATGCTACTTGACTCCAAAGGCTGACCACCCCAGCAAAAAAAAACCTTCCCAAACAAAAAATGAATAAATAATAGGCAAAGGAGGATAATTCTTGAATACATCACTATTAGAGAGAGGACATTAGTATTTTTTTAATTTTATGTTCATCGGCATGATTCTTTATCATGAACCAATCGAAAATATTTGCTGTTGCGCTGACAATAAGACTTAAGAACTCATGACTTATAACCATGCCAAGATATGTGATCATTTAAGAAGGCACTTCTTTTTAGGTTAACAACTGGAGTTGAAACAGCGCACACCTTTTTCCTCTAATTCCCAGCATATCTCTGAACATTTTCTGCTATCTATTTAGTGAGAAAAATAATTTGTTCGCCAAAGGAGGAGGAGAAGGAAATATTGCGTACCTTGACTTCCATATTATAATAGTCTTGCCACAATCTGACATCTTGATCATAAGTTGTAAGTGAAGTTTCAAATAGTTTTCGCACATTTCCAAGACTAATCTTATCTCCACTAGACGCAAGGTTCAATTCCAGCTCAATGCAATTCCTGTACAAAGAAAGTCCTGGATGCGGTAAAGCAAGAAATCTGCACAAGGCAGTCAATGTCAGTCAACATGTACCTATTTAAAGAAAAATGAAACATCATCTACCATCTCAGCACCCCTAAATTTGATCCCACACATTGGAAGAAGTTTTGATTAAATAATACTTGATAACAAAGTTTTAAGACTGAAGAAAACCCTTATATCACTCAACACTTGGAAGTCCTTCAATTTTAAAGGACACGATATCAAGTAAGAGTTGCACCAGGTTAATCTTTTTGATACTAGTAAGCACGTGAACAAACATGGTACCTAATTTCCTAAACCAACTTTAGAAAACAATTGATTAGCTAACGCAATAATGAAGGACTATGATTTGTTCATAAAATGATCCAGTTGGAAGAGGGTTCATTTTGTAGACTCTATTCCCTTAACCTTAAAAATGTGGGCTAAAGATAGATGTCAGCACATTCTTACCACGCTCTTAAACAAATCTTTCTTTAGGTTAACGTACAGGAGCACATTTACTATAACAGAACAGTTTATCAAACATAGATGTTTGCAATAATATATACATGGCAATAATCAATCAGCAGTAGCATACCTCTTATACAACTCTCTAGCACTCCCAAGTCCATCCCTTTGCAGAACAAAATTGACGATGGTAGCAGAGAGGGAAAAACCATCATCACTTCCACCATCTTTGGCCAGTAAAGATATAGAAGTCTCAACCAACTTGTCAAAGAATTTCTTATGAGTGGAAAAATATTTGAGCGCCTGCATAATATGTAATGCAAGTGGATCTTAAGATTTTTTTGGGAGTAAATGGATCTACGAAGTTCAAGCTTATTAACATTCCACTCATTCAACACTAGTAAAACTAAAGCATAGAAGGAAATCAGACAGAATGGCATGTAACAATATTACTTGAAAGAAAAATTAAAACGATAAACGAAGAAAATTCATGCGCTTGATCAAAATACCATGGAACTGGCTCCAAGAGGTCCTATTTTTATTTTATTTTGGCACTGCGACCTTCCATCCAAACAACTACAGAGAAAATATCAATGTTTCTGTTGGGTAATATTAGTTTAGTTTCACATAGACATGGACGAACCCGCACTTCTTATGAATGCAAATCTATGCCCAAAACACAACCAATAGTGAAACTGTGATGCCTCATGCATCCGTCATTTACTTATACATCTCCAACGTGCTAACATGCTCAACAATGTAACATAAACTGAATTCAATGGGATCTGCAAACATATAAAGACTGCTCAGACTTGTATTCACATATGTAATCACATGAATCCCCTACAAAATCAAAAAGAAAATTAAAAGCACAACACAAATGATAGTGAAATGGATTAGCCATGTCCATGTCTCAACCACTGATACATCTCTAACATACTCAACATAAAGTGCACTAAATGGAATCCACTGAAATATAAGCACTGCGCAGACTTGCATCTTATATGTAGTATTGTATCAAGCCTCAATGCTCACAAAGGAATCTATTCAAATAGCAAAAGTGTTTTTTTTTAAAAAGAAACACTATATTAATCATCAGTACAAAGACAAAGATGGTGAATTTACATGTTAAAAAAGAAGCAAAAAATGTATCCTTGGTCAGCTTACAAGTACTCTATAATATCTAGTAAGGATTCAGTTTCATCTACATAATTTCCTTTACGCCAAAAATGTATTAGCAGAAGAAATATTGATATATGCAACTGGAAAACAAGATATCATCTATCACAGCTAAGTCAGAAGGAGCAATACAGTTTCTATCACCATCTTATAATGCATGAAAAAGACTCTAAACAGGAGAAGATAAAAGCTTTGGCCTACCATAAGCCATATAGTTTCTGCTTCTGATATGGGAAGTTTCAACAAAGCATTTCTCATGGGTTCAAAGATAGAAGACAGAGCTGCCTTATTTGGAGTACAGTTCTTCTGGATAAATCTCATTTCTATTGAGAATCGTAAAGTCCATAGCTGCACTGCTTCTGAAAATTTTCCAGAACACAATTTCTCCGCCAAAGTCTTAGCTTCATCTACTTTCCCAAGTTGCAGTAGAAAAGAAACATGCTGGCAAGCAAGATCTTCTGTGATGCACCCCATGGTTTCAGCCTTTTCATATACTACCAAGAGATGTGAAATAGGATCCATAGCATGACTAGCTGTACTGAAAAGCTCAGAAGATTGACTTCCCTTGTTTTTAAAATGGATGACATCCGTCAGGAACTTTGCATAACAATCAAACATTGAAGCTGAAGGAACAATTTTTAAACCCTCCTCATAAACCTACAGAATCAATGTGGGTAGTCTTGTCAGCAGGGTACAGATATAAACCATAAAAGGAGTACGGCCGATAATGAACCAACCCCCCACCCCACTCGAGCCCACAAAAAGTATATCAGAATTTGTCGCTCAAGAACATACAGTTGCCAGCACCTGCTAATGAACGGAGAAATTATACAGGCTATTCTGTAAAACAGTGATTTACTACCAATGCACTGAAAGAGTGAATCAAATCATAAAACTAAAGGAAAGGAAGATCTCAAACAGTAAAGCACAAGCCTCGTAATGTTTCATGTGCAACCAAAGACTTTTGGTATATGTCATCTGATTAGCCATTGGATAAGTATAAAATTGTCCACAACAGTAAAGTTCATATAGCACTCTCTGTTGCACATGAAGGAACAATCTTCCAACCAAACTAGAAGGCGGACTCTCAGAAGAGGTAATTACAGAATTAATGCCACTTTTTCCTTAGACTGAAGAATTGAAGTAAAAAATGATTGAGGATTATTAAGGAATTAAGAACCTTCATTTATAAATAGCAAGCCTAAGTTTCTGGCAAACATATGTCCTTTTAACGTGATCTTAGACATGAAAGATCCAGAAATTATCACATTACAGGCAATACAGGAATTAGATTATAACATCAAAATCGAACATGTGGATCAACTAAGGTTTAGAATTACCTGAATAGCGCTGCTTAATTGATCAACTGTCATTGCTTCAGTAGTCTCTGGATTATTAAGATCAATCACTTCCTGTCTTGCAAGCCAATCCCAATACTTTGGTTCTTTTGAGAAGTCCCGTTTCATATCAGCAAGTATTTCATTTCGCATATCTTCTGAATGACCTAAATCTGTTGCTTCTAGTATGTCAAGAAACTTTGTTCTTAAACTGAAACTGGAAGGGAGGGCTTTAATAGAACCACCATAAACTGTCTGGAGAACACTTAAACCTTGTTTCCTAAACAAATCTAATTTTTCCTTAGAGTCTCCGTCGTGAAGGTTGGATAATTTGTCTTCCTCTCTTTTATCATCAAGGACAATAAATAATTCCTTGTTCTCATCTCTCCACTGTTCCTCTTTAGCACTATTGCCAGAACGAGCTAGTGTTCCCTCATCCTCTCCTAACACAACTTTGCGGGCCTTTAATTTATTTAGGTAAGTTAGCTCCATTCGGAGATATTCTACCCAAAGATCCTCAGAAGTTGGACATGCTCTCAAGCCGCTATGCATTAGGGCACGAGCAGCAGCAGCATTTAGGTTGTTATCAAATTCCCAAGCTGCAGCATATATCCATACTCCAGGCACCTTAGGATGAAACCTGATTACCTGCGCAAGGGCCTATTGAAGAACAAAAGGCATGAGAACAGCATAGGACACCTGAGAGCACAGTTTCTCAACATTTAATGATTTTACACAAAGAAAGCCGTCCAAGTTAAGACACTCTCATGCTCCAAATCCTACTTGAACCATTGGCAAAACTTAACCTGATTAAATATATATCTAGCATATAGGAAAGAGCCTTGGTTAGCTTTTTACTTAATTTAATCAGCTTTCTCCACAACCTGTACCCCAGTTGGACTCTAGCACTAGCAGGTTTTAATTATCAAGAGTTATCAGATGCGCTTTATGCAAGAACAAGCGCTCAAAGCTCTTTTTCAGTCAAACAGACAACCTATCCATTTTCAGAGAACTCTGTGCTATTGGAACTCATAAATATAAGAGGAAAATCAACCCCAGACAGATTTTTTCCATTTGCCAGGTTGCAAATGACCATATGTGTGTGAATAAATACAGGTAGGACAACCAATGATTAAGAAATATATATTGATAGTTAAATCCTAAGAAAAGTAAAAGAGTCAAACCTAGAAACTTTACCCAGAATAACTTGTAAACCAACTTTGTAATCAAGGTTTAGTATGTTCACTGCCTTGATTTACAATTATATTCAAAAGTACACATTAAAAGCCTGCAGCTTTGGATTTTTATGTAGAAAATAAGTTGATCAAATTCACTGGTTTGCAGAAAGTGCAAAACTAATAAACTAGGACAACGACAAATCGAACTTTATCAAATAGAAGACATTTCAACATAATAAGAGAAAAATTAACTGGCCTTCAATTATACTCATTAATAATGTTTTAGAACTTGCTTGCTCTTTAATAATATATTAATCTCATCAAGAATCAACTAATCAACTATGCCTCAATGCCAAATAACTTTGTTAAGTCATTTCACTTAGACAATTTAAGAACTCTCTAAATGTCTGGATTATAAAATAATAAACTAGTTGAAGGATAAAACACGAAACTTGAGGTTTCAATTAAACAAGTTTCTGCAAAGGTAAACGTACCTTCTTCATTCGACCGTTCCTTCGCTCCCTACAGAACTCCAAATACTGAAACCAAAGCTCTATATCTCCCTTAAACCTGGTGGTGGCGAGCCTATAAATCTCAATAATCCTGGAAACTCCAGCATAATCTGAAACAGACTTTTTCAGCTTTCTATCGCCTGTTGTTTTCATCTGAGCTTTTTTACGTAGAAGTCTTAGAGAATCGAGACTTTTCTCATAGTCAATGTATGCTACAAAATCCTGTTTCAATGGACTAGGTCTCTTCAGCCTGTACTCAAATTTCCGGCGCTGTTTCACTATTTCCGCTATTTCCTGGCGGCTAAAAAGACAGCGTTTTTCAAGGTCGTCGAGCTCAGGGAGCATACGCTCCAGCTTGTACTGTACAACATCCGCCATAGATTTTCTTCTTTCCTTTGTTTTCTTTCTACTTTGTATTTGTAGTAGAAACAGAGAGAGGAGAGGAGGGTTTGGGAAGAAAAGAGAAGTTGAATTTGGGGTACATTTGTTTGATTTCTAATCCGGCCCATTAAAATGCATATGGGCTTAGCAACTCTGTTGATGGATCTAACTACTTTTTGATTCCCTAACCACCGTGTAGGGGTGTTTATGGGTTGATTATTGGGCAAAATCAAATTAGTCTAATTGATTTTTAAATTCTTAAAGCCAAACCGAATCAATCATAATATATTTATCGATTTGATTGTATTGGTTTGATTTGGTTCAATTATTCAGTTATTAACCATATACATTAAAGCAATGATTTATTCGAGATGGGAAAAAAATTGACAACAATCCATTCAAAACGAATAATAGTTAGAACAATGGACATTATAAAACTTTCAATCTCTAAATTTACTATGAAAAAGAACTTCAGAATTCACCATTTTGTCCAAGAAGAAAGTGACATTGATATTTCTAGTACCATCAAGAATTGTCAGAGTTACTCATATATATACATGAAACCAATAAGAAAAATGTTTTCGTATTGAACATTTCGCTTTCATAAATAGATGAAACCAATATAATTTATTGGTTCGATTCAGTTATTTTTTCAAATTTTTCCAACAAAACCAACCCTAAACCAAATACTATGGGTTTATAAAACCTCTAAGAGGGGAGTTGGTATAACGACTTTGTGGGTTCAATAGTACTTTGGGTTCAAAATCCCCTATTGATTAAGCGTAATTGTACTTTGATGGGGAAGGTGATATGAGAGTAAATAGTTTGCCCAGGGGTCCAATTGCGTATCATATAATAATATATATTTCTTTTAATATAGTTTTATATGTTGTCTAATTTATCGTCACATGGTTTATAATCATAATCTTGTGCAACGCCCTCTGAAATTGTGAAGCATCATTCCTTTTATAAAGTAGATAGTGATTTGACACCGATCTAATTGGCAAGTTTATAATGGTATACAGGGCCATGAGTATACATACTAAGAATGAGGTAACACAGTTTCTTTCTTCACCCTCAAGGACAAAAGAAAACTCTTAAATGTAATATGTGAACACTTATTATTTAGTTTGAAAAAATGTACAAGTATTCCTTTAAACTAAAATTGAAATTTTAGAGATATATCTTAATTAAACTAAGGTCTTATTACTCTCTGATTTTTTTGTAATTTTTTGCACCTTTGGTCTTACGTGGCACAATCTGTGACATCACGCAATTAAGGCGCGTGAGAAATATTTGAATGTCATGTAAATAAAAAAAGGTGCACAAAATTACAAAAAATAATAAGTTTAGGGAGATGATAAAACCTTAATTTATTTAAGATGTGTCTCTGAAATTTCGTCATAGTCTAGGAAGTATTTGTGCATTTTTCCTTTACCCTTTAATTTATTGAATCAAGTGAAACAAATCGAGGCAAACTTGAGATGATCAGTCATAGGTAACAAAATTAATATTTTGTTTTTGTTCTCTTAGGGATAAACAAAAAAACTACCCCTTTTTTCATTTATGGATCTGACGAAGATAATTTAAAGTAAGGTGAAGCCGCTCCTATCCTATCGCCATTCGCCGGGTCTGGACATGACTCTGGTTCGGTTCGTATTCCACGCGGTAATGTTTCAAAGTATTATTTGTCATTAGTTTATAACTTCAATATGACGGAAAAATAGAGAGAAAAAACAAAACATATATTAATACATGGCCAAGTAAATTAAGAAACACATACGTGTTATTAAAACTTGCATAATCAGCCAAACTACAAATTTGACTCATAATATAAGAATATGCCAAATCAAACCATAACATATATATATTTGAAAGGAAGATGAGTAATTCTCCTAAATAATTAGTAACTAGCGCAATATGCGAAGTTAGTTTTATTTGTGTGAAATCTAGTAAATACTAGTAATATATCATATGATGATGAATTCAAGGTTTCTGATTTCCAAGTGATGCTTTAGCTTGGCCACTAGCAAATGAACCATCACCTCCATTGCTATCACCGTTAAAACCAAAACCTCCACCGACATTTCCTGACCCGAAACCTCCTCCTCCATTGCTAGACCCGAAATTTGATCCACTCCCAATTTCAGTTCCAAAACCTAATCCACTTCCATTATCAGTTCCAGTTCCTGTTCCGAAACCCAATCCGCCACCGTTGTTTGGACCGACTCCCCCCACAATTCCTCCAAAAGGACCGAATCCAATAACCGGCCCTACACCAAATGCGGGCCTACCAAGCCCGTGACCACCCAAAAATGGTGGTAAAATTGGATGACGTACAAACTTCATGTGTTCATCTGATTGAGATTTCATGGAATCAAGGCTCCTAATTGCATTTGTGGATAAAACAAGTGTAGAAGCAACAATTAGGAGAATCATATTGGTTGCCATTGTATAAATGTTAGTAGTAATTAGTAATTAAGATATAAGATGTTGTGATGAGAATTTTGAGTTTTGGAAGCTCAAGTTATATAGTAGTAAAGTAAAGATTAATAATAATATCAAAGTTAGGTAGGAAGATATTAAGTCATGTATGCATTGCGTGTTATTGACTAGTAGTATAATATTTTGTTTACAAAAAGCCAAAACCTTCGTGATCAACCTAACACTTCCCTTACATCAAATTAATTAAGTAGTTCATTTTCATTCCTTCAAATGTACATGCATTAATCTTTTTTAACGTCATCTTCTTGATTTTTATTATACTAGTTAGTTTCATTTCTTCCTTTAATATCTTCAATTTTGATATTTAATTATATTTTAATTAGGTCTCATTCATAGAAATATGACCATGAAGATTTATGAAAATAATAACATACTCATTATGGTTATGATCATGTTTTGACTTTAAGTCATCCACGATCCCTTAAAGTTGTTCGCATAATTCAAATAGATACTTTAATATATATTAACAAGTATTTATCTATTGAACATAAAATGACAACTGGCTTTAGAAATATTTCGATGTTTCACCTTCATATTTCGTATCATTTGAACTTTTCCTTTTAGAATTTATCTAAAAATTATTTTGTATTTTATTTAAAAGTTGATGTTTGATCATGAAAATTTGAAATATAATTTTTCAAATTGAAGGTATATTTCAAATTTGAAAAAGTATGTTAGTATAATCTTTTTTTAAACTCATTTTTCACTTTTGATATTATGTTTAAAACGTGAATGTTATTTCAATTTTTTTTAATCAAAATAAAACATAATTTTATTTTCAACTCTTGCTCCATATATTTCAAATACAACAAAAAGATAAATTTAAATTCTATGTTCAAATGCCAAATAATTTTAATGTTTAATTTAATAACAAGTGTTTCACTATTCTTTATAACCTTTTTTTATATATAAATTTAATTATATTGCATTAGAGATTTATTTTACTAAATTAGTTATTTTTACCATTCAAAAATTATGTTAATTTTTAATATCTTATGTAGTTATGATAAGAATATTATTTTGTAAAAAATATTTTTTGTTAAAAAAATAAAATAAAATAAAACATATTTTCATCTATACCGAGTAAATTTGGGATAGCAATTGCATATAGATTTAAGAATAACATAAAATTAGAAAAAAGAAGGGAAAAATTAGACTAGTGCGGGAAAGAGAAATTAATGGCAAAGAAGAAAAACAAAAAAAGAATCCACAGATAAAAATCTATCTATAATAAAATAATGTATCATACAACTTGTACTAGTTGTACCTCATACATAAATTTTTTTTTTCCATAACCCATTGCCCTTTCTTCTTCATCTTCTTCCCTATCAATCAGACCATCAATTCCTCAATGACAAAAAAAAAAAAAAGGAAAAGGGTTTGATATACCCCTCAACTTTGTCATTTGGAGCTGATATACCTCTCCTTATAAAAATGGCTCATATATGTCCTTATCGTTATACAAACGGCTCACATATACCCCTATCGTTACAAAATGGCTTACATATATCCTTCATTTAATGGAAGTTAAAAAATTAGTTTTAAATTTATATTTGTCACTTCTAATTTTTTTTTAAAAATTATTTAGGCGTACATATGATTCTTCTATCAAAGTTCAAGGTATATTTTAATTTTTTTCATACATAAATTATTTTTTGACTTCTTTTATTATAATTATTTGAGTTTCTTATTCGTATTTTGTTTTTTCTTTCATTCCTTAGTTTAAAGAAGAAGAAAATAAATTATTTTTTTCTGTGTATTGTAATTTAATTTCGTATTCGAATAAAAAATTTGGTCATCTACAATAAGTTTTACAAGAATATTAGTGAAACATAAATAAATTTGATTATCAAAATAATAATTATAAATTAGTCATTGAAATAAAAAAAAGTCAAAAAAAATATGTTTGACGAGGATTAAATTTACTCATATGGGATTATATTTTTTAGAAAAAAATAATAAAAATTTAGATTAAAATTATTATTATTTTCATTTCCGTTAGAGGAAAAGGGTATATGTGAGCCATTTGTCTACAAGTAGGGGTATATATGAGTCACTTTTATAACGAGAGGTATATCAGCTCTAAATGACAAAGTTGAGGCATATATCAGACCCTTTTCCCAAAAACAAAATATATCTCACCCCATCCCTAATGCACCCACCTAATCTTTTGCTTTTTTCCCCTTCCCATATCACCCATTGTATTATATTCTTTCTGTAATTATTGACATTTTTGTTAAAATAATTGATGTCGCTAAATTATTTCAAAATTGACGATAAAGAGAAATTAAAAGAATATTGATATTCTTTATATCATTTTAAATAAGTTCAATGAATGGTAATAGTTGCTTCAGAGTTTTTGAAAATAGAGATGCATGAATATCGGCTAACATTTTAACTTTAATGGCCTGACTTTTCTTCTTTTTCTTGCAAATTCAATTAGTTTAATCTTCACGAAAATGAAAAAAATTAAGAACAAAACAAAAGGCAGAGAATTTGAAGTATTAAAAATAATGGATTAAAGAAGAAGATGATATAACACACACAAGTAGAGGTGTGTAGAGGAATATAACCAAATTAAAGAAAAAGATCATGACATTTTTGGGTTTTGTTTGATTTTGGACGTTTTTAATTTAAAAAATTCATTGTATTTAATTTGATTTTGGTCTTAACAAAAGAAAAAATCCAAAAATTCCAACCAACCAAACTCTCTCTATATATTGTGTGTATATATTTTATATAAAATTTTACGCTACATATTACTCCATCTGTTTCAAATCATCAATGCAAGGAATGGGGTACTTGTTCTTAATAGTTACTTTATTCAGCTGCCTGTAGTCTATGCACATTCGAAAACTAACATCTTTCTTTTTCACAAATAAAACTGGAGCACCCCAAGGAGATGCACTCGGTCTAATAAAACTTTTACCTAACAAATCCTAAAGTTGGGCCTTTAACACCCTTATCTCAGCTGGGGCCACTCTATAAGCTAGAATAGGAATGGGTCGAATCCTCAACTCCAGGTCAATACAAAAATCAATATCAATCTGGTGGCATACCAGGTAGGTTTGCAAGAAAAACATCTAGAAACTCACGGAATATCGTAACAAATTCGATCGAAGACACTTTAAAAGTATCATCCTGATATGTGCCAATAAAGCTAAAACAAAACTTGCTCACCAATCTCTTAGCACGAAGAAATGAGATAATACGAACTGGGGTGGAAATATAGTCACCCTATCACACTGTTGGATCTTTCCTAGGCTTGCTAAGGTCACAGTCTTAGCAATACAATCTGAGTAGCAAAATTTGGAGAAAGTCAAGTCATACCCAGAATTACATCAAAATCAACCATTTTTAAAATAATCAAATCTATATATCTGATTCTCTCACAAAAGTTATAAGGCAAGACTTATACACCTTCTCAACTATCACAGACTCACCCACAGGAGTAGAGACACGAGTAGACATGTCAAGCAAATCACAATGTAATTCAAGACCAGTAGCGAACGAGGATGACTCATAAGAAATTGTGGATCCATGATCAAACAATACAGAAGCCATGCAATCACGGAAGAGTACCTGTGATAACAACATTAGATGTCTCTGCCTCTGACTTCCCGGGAAAAACATAACAATGGGCCCATTCACCTGTCTGTCCATTACCCCTGCTAGGCTGCGCTCCAGTAGTTCCAATCTGCCCGCCATCTCGGCTGAATTGGTGACCACTATTACCTTGGACACCACGTCCTTCAGAATGACGGCCTCTACCCTAACCACTAGGGTTATGTATCGGACGGTTCGGTTCGGTTTTGAAGTTTATCGGGTTAGATTATTGATTATCGGTTTGTAGAGATGCTAAACCATTTAACCATTAAGATATTGATTTATCGGTTATTGGTTTATCAGTTTTTGATCGTTATCGGTTCGGTTATCGGTTTAACCGTTAAGATTTGACACAAAAGAAAAACATTAAAAATCACTTAGAAACAAGGTGATAGACCAAATAAACCATGCACTTGAGTTCACAAGTTACATCTTGCTCAAAAGCAAACACTTTTACATTGTAGAATAATCAAGTGTTTGAGACAACCAAAACTAAAAGTAGAAAATTAAACTCTAAGTCGAGGACTTTATATACAAAATGGTATAAATATAGTTATTTAATTTACTATCGGGTTATCGGTTAACCCGTTAATAAAAAACTTTAAACCGTTAAAAACCAATAACTCGATAATAAAAAAGGATCAAAACCGTTATCAAAACCACTAAACTAATAAACCAATACTATAAACCAATAACTTTTTATCGGTTCGGCTTATCGGCATTGATTCGATTTTGAATAGCCCTACTAACCACATCTACCTCTAACTGTTGGGATTTTGTAACTTTGATCATATCGAGCCTGACTCTGCTTTGGACAATATTTTCTTATATGTCCAGCCTCTCCACATCCATAACAAGTCCTAGAGTCAAGTGTAGGTCTATGTGAAGACGAAGAAGACTGGAGATAGCCCCCAAACTCAGAAAAAAATGAACAGACCCTCAGCTGAAACCTGCAAGGAAGACTGAATAGGACGGGGTAGATAACTCCCTGAATTCTGCCCTCTAGAGTAAGAACCACCAAACTCACCTTTCTTACGAAACTTCTTCAATGTCGACCCCTTGGTTAAGTCATTTGGCTTCACCGTCTCTACCTCTATCATAAAATCAACCACTTCCTGAAAGGATTTTGTAGCAGCAACTGCCTGTAAAGTTGGACTCTGCAAATCTGAGCTCAACCGCTTTTGCGGACTGAAGCAAAGCTGAGTGGCATACCTGGATAATGCATGAAATTTGGCCTCATAAGTTGCAACATACATCCTTCCCTTCTCTAAGTTTAGGAAATCAACTCTTTTCCTGCCCTCAAAGTCCGGGGTATATACTTCTCCCTGAAAGATCTAGAAAATACTGCCCAAGTCATAGGTGGTGCCTTCGTTGGTCGACACTCGACATGAGACCTCCACCACATTTTGGCATTCCCTTGAAACTGGTAAGTCACAAACTCAACACCAAATCGCTCCATTATGCCCATCTTATGCAAACATGTTCAGATTTAGTACCCTTTAAGACCGGAGGTTTCAACTTTAAGAACTTAATAAAAAGGTCATGTTGATCACTGGTCATTATAGACCTTGTTGTCAATTGAGGAAACGTGCGTATTTCCAAAGATGCATCAATGCATGGAGCCACAACAGCTGCATGATGTACTCTCTGAACCTGAGGTGCTGGTGCAGAAAACACTGGGACGTCTGACCTTGATCAGATAACCCGCTAAGATAAGTGAGAATCCGATTAATCATCTCTAGAGTAGGATGAGGTGATACTTTCTTCTCCTGAATCTGCTCATTTTCCCCTTCATCACTCTCTATCACTACCTCTTCAGTCGGTGGAGAAGTCACCGCTCTATCCCTAGCTGGACCAGGTGCTTGTCCTTTGCCTCTAGTGGGCCTTCTCCCGCTACCTCTACCATGGCCTCTTGCCACTGCTCCCCCTCGAGTTGCAGCTCCATTGGTTAGCTCAGGAGCACCTTGTCTTATCGATATTGGTGTTGGCACAGTTGTTGCTCTAGTTCTGACCATCTGTGAAATAGAGTGAAGAAGGTCAGATACCAGTTGGATCCAAGTAATAGCACGAAAGAAAGAAAAATATGAGTTTTCCTAAAGTCATATAGCCTCTCGAAGAAAGTAAAGGCGTCCCTATATCGTTTCGCAAGACTCTACTAAACTTGTCCTTTTGTGATGAGATCATCTAACCTGATGCTCTGATACCAAGTTTGTCACGACCCAAAATGAAACATGAGTGACACTCACACTTAACCTTCTAAGTGGGCAAATCAAGGAATCTAAACTCCAACATATATCTATAATTCAACTACGAATAGCAATAGAATGCGGAGATTAAAACTTATTAAAGTAACCAATCCAATAAACATCTGAAGCCTAACACTTCTTATCTCCAAAATCTGAAAGTCATCACATCAATGACATTTATTCTCAAAATACCCAACCTAAGAGTATTAAAGACACCAAAATACGTAATAAGATGGTGCATGTCCGAAATTCAAGGACATCATGACATGAATGAGAGGATCCAACACAAGCTAGAACTAATAGCTCACCCTGAACTCTGATGTGCCGGAGACTGGCTAGTGCTGAGGGTGAGTCGAAGTCAATGCTACACTCGCTGCACTCCACAAAAGAAAATACAAGTAGGAGTCAGTACAAGGAACACGTATTGAGTAGGTATCATTGGCTAACTCAAAATATGAAATCAATATATATTAAATAATAATATAAAATCAACTACAATACTTGTCAGGTGGCAAGCAACAAACAACATGAACCAGCATGAACCCTTAGGTTAGAACTTTAGTTGCTTATATCCCATTTTCCAATATACTACCTTATATTTAATTATCTATCTCAATATATCAAATTTTAGTTTAAACTATGATAAAACTGAAACCACTAGTCATAATACCAGTGGCAGCTAACACAGGAGACCCCAAATGACTAACCAAAGAAACCAAAAGTAACACAGAAACCCAATCCAAGATTTAACATACAGAAGCTCAACTTTTCTATCCATTCACATGGCACCTGAGAACATTTATATTATGCCTATCTGAACTCACATGAATAAAGTTTTTCATACAATTTTTCAATACACAAACACTAATCAAAACAATCTAACTAATATTATCTAATCACTGTTATATTCGTTCTTCTCCAATCACAATTTCCTACACCACATTATAATCACTCTTTCAATTCTTGACCAATCATCACGTTTCTCAACTTTGCACCATTCAATTTCTGTTTAATCTTTTTCCACTTTTCATCATATAGATCTATTATCGATAGTTAACCCACAATTATACATGTTAGCAATTAGTAAGGAAGCTTACCTCTAAAAGAACCCCAAATTGATCTTTGATGTAGCCACACAGGTAAACCTTCTCTCACTTGGTTTTTACACATCTATTTTTTTCTTTTCTGCAGATTAGTTATCACCCTAATTGTATACCTTAAATTATAAAAGTGAATGACCTATTATTAATTTTAAAGTTATTTTCTTTAACCACCAACTAACTTAATTATAAAAATTACCCCACTAATTTCATTATTGAAATTACGAATCGTCCAAAATACCCAATTAGAATCTATCGAAAAAAATACTTTATAAAACACAAGACTTTGGCACTCGAAAAGACCAAAAGGATCGTTACAGAATATTAATAGGGCTGACTTAAAAACTGTTGGAAAAAGAGCAAGTAAGGAAAGAGTAAAAAAGAACATTTGACCCTCTCGTACAAACAACACAACTGGTAGACATTATCGATCGACTCGAATCCACTAAATAAAATCATAAAATTATTAAGAAAATCCGAAACTTTGAAAATAAAATTAGTACCCCAATCCATCAACTCACCACTTTTACTATCAGTAGATTTACCTTGGAATTCATACACTCTATCTCACGTCACTCCACTTCCCAACTCTCCCATCTTAGACATTCCACCCTCATATCAGATCATAGATTAATCCTTTCTATCACATAGAGATTTTTCGAATATAAGATCATTACCAACTCTGCTTACTAGTCTACTATTCCCCTCAAGCTCTCATGTCAATACTTTAGCCTTAATAATACTCCAATTATAGAATACGCATAAACAATCCCAATTTAATAAAGTAAGCAAGCATAATTTCAACCCAATTATAAGACAGTATGAACTTATATTCTTACCTAGATATAACACTTGCATGAAACATGTCCCACATGATCACACCATCACAACTAGTTTATATATACGGTTCGTTCTTTCTTAATGGGTGATTAGTTTTAAGGGTAAAAGTAGATCAAAAAGGTGGATGAAAAAGTATTTTTATCGTAATGGATGAATGAAGGGTATATCTAAACCTTTACAGATTGTTTAGAGATATTTTAAACCCTTTTTCGTGATAAATGTAGGAGTGAAGAACAAGGGATAAACAAATTTGTGCTCACAATTTCATGAATAAAATCATTATTTTTATTTATTTATTTTTTTAAAAAAGTAAAGGGATTACATTAAAATTTGGAAAATGCATAAATACCTCAACCTATATTCAAAATTTCATCGATACACTTATACTATACTAAAGTCCTATTACCCTCTGAACTTATTTTATAAATAAATTTCTACCCCTTTTCGGCCTACGTTGCACTATCAACCAGATAGTTTGAAAAAATTGTCAACACACGCTAGCCCTAGAAGATAGTGCCACGTAAGCAAAAAAAAGAATAGAAATTATTTATAAAATAAATTCAAAAATAATAAAATATTAGTATAATATAAATATATCTCTAAAATTTCAAGCATAGATTAGAAGATACTTATAAATTTCCTTTCAAATTTAGCACAAAGATGGTACTAGGCAAACTATACAAATGTAGCAAAAAAAGCAAATGTTATATCCATTGTCTATTCCTGTAGGGATTCGATGACTCTGAGTTTTAGAGTTTTATTAAAGTAAAAATGACATGTCCAAATATGAGTTGGAAACCTAAATAAGCCACAAAAGTGTAAAAATGATCAAAATAAGTCACTATTTTAGTTAGAAACTAAAATAAGCTTAGTGGAAAAAAAAGTTCCACTTTATCTATTTTTTTAAACGTTTTCCGTTAGTATCATAACGTTTATTTTTAATATATAACGAAATTTTTTCTTACACTTTATAAAGTGTAAGTAAAAAATTACACTTTATAAAGTGGAACTTTTTCTTCCACTTTATAGAGTGGAGCTTTTTCTTCCACTTCATAAAGGGGAACTTTTTCTTCCACTTTATAAAGTGGAACTTTTTCTTCCACTTTCTAAAATGAAACTTTTTATTACATTTTATAAGAGAAATATTTTTCACGTTTCGAAAAAGCTTTTTCAGTGTTGTCATACAATTATGTTGATTTGACATGTCATAAAACGGAAAAAAATATTACACTATGTATTTTTATTTTTTTTATTCTGAAAAAAATTTCAATCTCTATTTAAGGTCGTTTAAAATGATTGAAATCACCTACAACAAAAAATCTTCTATATTTTGTTCATTCAATCTAAAAAAAAATGTCTTCTACGCCTAAAGTTAAAGTTTTAATTTATTGGGATGACGAAATTATACATGACGGAAATACCGTTTATTGTAATTGTCCTCCCAAACACAATGCTAAATATCCAATTAATGTTCGATATCATAAATTCATTTCATCAATTTATAAAAGAATGAGTATAAACAGTACTGATTATAATTTGATTATAGTCAGAAAATACTCTACTTCATTTTTATCACAAGGACAAGTTAATTTTGGAGAGTGGATTATCTATAATGACGAATCGTTGACCGACTTTTTGAGGGTTCCAAATGACTACATAGATCAAATCAAGCTAACAATACTTGAAATCTATGTTAGGAAGGAGCCTAAGATTAGTCAACAACGTTCTCATTTATCAGTAGTCGATGTCAATCCCCAATTAGAAAATCGTAATAGCGTTGATGAATTTCCAATAACTCAATTTGTTGATTTTCCTAACATGACTCATTATCAAAATATTCTTACCGGTCGATATGATTTTGATTTAAATGAATCTATCAATGAAAGTGATCGGTAATGCTCAATAATTATATTTCAATCATTATTTGTTGATTTTGTCGATTATTTATTAGTTTATATGATTTATTTTTCTTATTATTATATATATTGTAGCGGTTTACCTCAGCAAGATAGGAATATTGCTCCAAGTTATGGATTAGATTATTGTTTTGGTCAGTCATCACACTTTGAAATGACGGAAAATGTTGGGACATCCTCAAATTTTCATGTCTCGCCTACTTTTGGTGCAGATGATTTTCAGTATGTTCTACGTTTGATTTTTTTATTTAAGTAAGTAAATTGCATGAGCAAAATATTTATGCTTTTTTACATATATAGAGAAAACATTATACAAGATGAACCCATTGATCCTGTGAATATCGATGATCGTGACCTTCCTAATTATGGCTCACTTTCAGCTAGTGATAGTGATGATTTGCCTAATGCTGAGGAATCAGGAGATAATGTTCCATTTGAGGCATCATCTAGTGATGATGATTTTTCGACTCTCAATCGATCGCCAAGACCAATGTCCATGAGCCCGTTTCATAATCATGAAATTTCTTATCTTGATCATCTCCCGGATGGTTCAGATATCTTTGGTGATACATATAATGAGTATACATCACAACGTACGTGGCAAGAACCAAAAGATTTCATGAATGGTGCTATTTATATTGAAAAAGGCATGTTATTCAATTCAAAGAAGCAGTTGCAAAGAGCAGTTAAACTTCTACATTTGAAAGTAGCAAGGGAGTACTTTGTTATTAAATCGACAAAAAAATCATGGCGACTTGTTTGCAGGCGTGTAGAACAAGGATGCCGATTTAGGTTGACTTCTTTTATTGATAAACATACTAACATGTGGAAAGTTGGAAGATACATTGAAGAACATACATGTGATATGGGTACATGTCGCGAAGGACATTTCAACTTGGATGTTGAGTTGATTGCTAACGTCCTCCGTGTTGATATAGAAAGAACGCCAAGATACTATTTTATCTTTAGATGATTCTTATTTAATAAGAAAATATTCATTTTAATTTGATAATTAATATTATTATTACTTTTCAGGTTTCCCATCAAAGACTGTCAAACAGCCGTTCTTAAAGCATATGACATTTCGATAAGTAGAAGAAAAGCCTATCTTGGTTGCAAGCGGGCTTTTGAAAAAGTCTATGGTACTTGGGAGGGTTCTTTTGCCGAGTTACCGAGGTTCATGGAAGCTTTGAAACACTTCAATCCTGGAACAATAGTAGAATGGAAAACAGAGCGGCGTGTCGATGTCATTGAACATGTATTCAACTATGTGTTTTGGGCTTTTAAACCATGCATTGATGGGTTTGTGCATTGTCGTCCTGTTATATCGATCGATGGAACACATGTCTATGAAAAATATGATATCAAGTTGTTGATTGCGATTACAATAGATGGTAACGGCTCTGTATTACCTTTGGCATTTGCAATAGTTGTAAATGAGAGCATAGAGACATGGACTTTATTTTTGGATCATTTGCACTTGCACGTTGTAAAGGGTCGTAGAGGGGTCACATTGATATCAGATAGGCATCACGGAATACTCTCATCCGTGTATAATTTTCCGAATTGGCAGGCTCCATTTGAGTTTCATCGTTTTTGTTTAAGACATTTGAAGGCCAATTTTCAAAAAAAATTTAAAAATATCACTTTGAACAACCTATTATGGGCAGCTGCAAATCACTATCAGGAGAAATTTTTTTTGGAAAAAATGGAAATGATCAAGGAGATTAATGCGGAAGCATATGTGTGGCTAATGAAGAACGATCTTGACAAATGGACATTGCACAGGGATGGAGGTAAGAGATGGGGCATGCTGACAACAAACAGTTCCGAATCATTCAATGGTCTTCTCAAATCAGCAATGGGTCTGCCAGTTACTGCAATGGTAAGACTCACTTACAATCAAGTTGTGAATTGATTTTTTACAAGATCAAAATTTGTTAATCATCTAATACAGGAAAAGCAACAATGGATGCCTAAACCATTCAAGATTTTTGAGGATAATCGAAAAAAGTCACAACGTCACACACTGATCAACTATCACCAACAAAGGGAAAACATATTTGAGGTGCAAACACATATGCATCATGGTCGTGGTGGTAATAAGCACATTGTAAATGCATCACAAGGAAAATGTCAATGTGGTAAATGGCAATCATATCATATTCCATGTTCTCATGCAAAAAAGGGATTTGATCAAATTGGGTATCAAGCATGGGAGCATATGGCACCAGAATTCACTGTGCGTAGCTACAAAAATGCCTACTTTGGACAATTCAATCCACTCGGCGGTGAAAAGTATTGGCCTGATAGTCCCTTCCTTATGATAGCAAATGAAAAATTATTTACGAAAAGTGGGCGTAAATAAAACCACCCGTATACAAAATGAAATGGATGTTCCTACAAGTACACTCACTCGCAAGTGCTCAACGTGCAAACAAATAGGCCATGATAGGCGCAACTGCCAATCACGAAAATATTTATCCATCATTTCAAGAACCTCTGTTCCAAGCCTCCTACGCTGATCATGCACGTGGTGGTTGGTTCCCCAACTAGGAATCACAGTTACATGCTGGGAATGACCAAACTGACGCATTACTCTATCAGGCGAGTGCACTTCAACAATCTCTAGGCAAAACATAGGGACACATGGCATCCATAGAGGCTCATTGACCATACAACAATGAGGCAGTGTATGTAAAATTTCATTGTATAGTGTCCATCGAAACTATTTTTAAAATATAACAATTAAATAAAATCAACATTAACTGATTAGTAATGATAGGTTTGCAAATAACATAATAATTAATAATAAATAACTTTTCGTGAATTTATAACATGAAATAAGCAACACAAAGTTGGCTAGCTTAATGCTGCAATTTTATTTATTTATTGTAAATAAAATAAAATAGTAAAACTATTTATAGTCCAATTCATGTGGACTACTAGAGTCAGCAAAATATCCTTTTTTGTTGTATATTTATTATTATATGTGTATTATTTTATTTAATATTTAGCAATCATATATAATGAAATTTATTTTATGTAGCTGATCCTCCGTCATGCGGTCTAACTGGTCTCTAATCGAGATAAGAACATGATGTGACTCGGTATCCCTATCAATTCCACGCGTCCAACGCCTAGCATATGAAAGTAACATGTCACCATCATGTTGAGGAGGAGCTGATGGCTGTACAGGCAAGATTCTCTTCCAACACCAAACCTTGATGTGACAAACAAAATAATTAAATTATCATCATTAACAAAAAAAAAATCTATAATCACATATATATATTTTTATAGCTGTAGGAAAATGTATGTGAATCTTTTTTAAAACTATGTAGGTTTTATAATAATTATTCATATTTATTATGAAGTAAGTTTCAACCTTTGGTTGGACCCTTTTTTTAAAACTATGTAGGTTTTCTAATAGAATAACATTGTGTGCTTTATCAATGCAAGTTTTTATCGAAAGAAGCAAGCGAAGAAAATAAACTATTTGTATGTAATTTAAATATTTTAAAAAATTGAATATAGAAAAAATATTCTTGTACGGTATAATGTTAAAGATTTTTACATTTGAATGTATTTTAAAACTTAAGTAAAGTTACCTGAAAGAGAGGAATAAATCCGCAAATGTCAACCACATTACCGATAGATGCTCGACAAAGTGCACGGTACAAGTAGGCTAGCACTGCACTGCCCCAACTGTACTTACCTACATCGTGGATAGTGATATACCGTGGTTTCACAGTATAATTAATACTTTTTCCTTAAGTTTAGTGTGTCCGAAAGTCTTTTTGTGCTAGTTTTTATATGAGTTTCTCCTTGTTTTGCAGGAAACCTGTCCAAAGTTGAATGCGGAGATTTTGAGTGAAGAAATGCAGAAGAGACCACCTACGGAGCTGATGACGGTCCGTTGTGCTTGTGACGGTCCGTAGGTGGCAGCGTAGAGAAGCTGCTGAAGGAAAATGGGGAAGTCTGACCAAGTGTGGGGTTACGTAGCTTGTGACGGTCCGTCGTGGCTACGACGGTCCGGTTCGTCATGATGTTTAGAGAAGTGATCCCAGTACCCAGATTCCAAGAGTTGAAGTGTTTTGAAACGAAGACCCTCGACGGACCGTTGTGCCAATGACGGTCCGTCATACTTGCCGTTGAGGGGAATGAAGAGAGCAGCAGAAGAAACTGCTAAGTATGGGACGACGGAGTCCATGACGGTCTGTCGTGACTACGACGGTCCGTCGCGAAGTCCGTCGACCCAGGCGCGTTTTGGCAGATTTCCAGAAATTAGAATCCTTGTTTAATTAGGTTTTTATTTTTTATAAATAGTTCGAAAAACCTCGTTTTTGAGGTTAGACTCTGCTAGATTAGACATCATATTATTAGACTCTGTGTATTAGTGTTTCGATTTGGAGATTCTTACAAGTGATTTTTTGTGATTAATCAAGCAAATTTTCGGACTTTATTCTTTCTCATTGAAGTAAGTACATGAATTCTTATTTAATATATTTGAATATTGTGTTTATGGATATGAGTAACTAAAGTCCATAACTAGGGTTGTGGAAACCATAGGCAAATAATGAGATAAACCCTAATTAAAAGAACAATTCTAGAATAGTGTCTTGCATGTATTAATAATTCTTTCGTTTAGAAGTCTTTTTAACGGATGACCAACGTTAGAACTCGCCTTAATGCTACTTGCCGGACCAAGGAGGTAGATAATAGGAAAAGAATTATTAACATAGATTTAGTGCATACTATCTAATAGGCTAGTATTGATTGGTACGAGGTAATAACTTAGTCAAATATCGAATACGATGCTTAATATGAGGTAAGGATAAGGGTTAGGATAACAACACAAGTAGCCGGACCAAGGTGCGGAGTGAGATTTTCTAGATGCCGGACCAATGATTTAGAAATACATAACTTATCACTTTGCATGCAAGATACTAGGAAAGAATTGTTATAGTTAGAGTTATCAAGTTATGAACCTGTGGGGATCACTTAAACCCTAGTTACTTTGATTAATTGATTAAAATCCAACATTAAAAGTTGTTAAGTGTCTCTTTCAAGTTCGTTGTTTATTTTCACTTATTTAGAGATAGAACCCCCCTTTTTATATTTTTACTTTCCAAGGAAGTTATTGACCAAACGATAGTAATAATAGGTTGAGGTTAAGTCTAGACTATTTTCCTCGTGGGAACGATCCCAACCTCACTAGTTGGGTTATTTACTTGACACGACCGCTTTACTTCTCATTTGAGAAGTAAGTTTGAGAGTATCAGATAGGATCTAGGAACGCCAAGTATTGTAAACTAATAAGGTTTCCTGAAGTGTTCGGAAATAGGATGCCCCCTAATATAACAAGCATGTGAAGTCTAGCAATCCTCTCCACTCGTTCCATTGGAGTAGCATTCTTATCGGATCTACTTGTAACTGATCTCGCAAGTAGCCGGTAATGCTATGTATCCTCACCCGACTCGCACCATCCATATCAGTAGGTGCTATGGTACATCATGTGAGTATCTCTAATAAAGTACGCCATGGATGAATTCTCCGGGTAGCATCCTGAATGTACACAACATCACCATCGATGCGCAAACCAAACAAGACCTGCACATTCCGCAATGTAATCGTGAACTCACCAAAAGGTAAGTGGAAGCAATGAGTCTCTGGCCTCCAACGCTCAACCATAGCTGTAACAAGGGCACGATCATACTGCATCCTGCCCAGACAAACTACATCATACAGTCCGGACCTACGTAAGATCTCCTCAACACGTTCATGAGGTCAGTGCAAACGAAATAAATTCCAGGCATCATTCATGCGCACCGTCCTCATAAGATTACTATATGGTATCTCACCTTTCCATAACAATTCTGATTTATGCTCATGCTAAGAGAGAAGAAGTGTACGATCAATCGGTCCAGGATTCACAACACGCTCCATTATATACTGTAAGAAAAATTATATTAATTCGTATAATATAATTATATTTTGTACATATTAATGCCTAGACAGTTCTGCTTTTTATTTACTTCTATAGTTTTGTTGGACCTCTACGGTAAAAGTGAAATTCTATATTATACCTCTTATTATTTATCGAGGTTCCTCAGCGAGGTTTTAGCTTTTGAATTGTGAAGGGGAGTAAAAGAAAAAAAATACTAATTGAGTAAATAGTGAGAACATATATGATGATCGAGAATATTTTAACTAAATAATATTTAAAATTCTTAGTTATTAACTATGACTTAATCATGAAGAATGCTTCCTATTATTAATCAAAATCTAACAAAGAATAACGATATAACTCTCTCGGCTTTCAGCTCAAGTTGGTGAAATAACTTGAGTCTGCTAACTCCAAAAGAAATTACTAAAACAAAATCACAGAAATAGTAATTATCCTCATTTAGAAAGAGGGAAAATAAGTGTTATCATTCCAATTAGAAATCTAAATTAGTTATTTGCATTTATTTGCGATCAATTGAGCACTAATAGCTGACTAAATATCAAGAACATAATCGATATGAAAATTAGTAATTATGATATTTTTTTTGTTTGAATAATGAAGCGAGATGAACAATGAAGATTAATGATATAGCCGATCCAACTTGCTTGATTTTGAAGTATGGCAGGAGTTATTGTTGTATGAAACCTCTATATTTTAGTATAGTATTCCAATCGAAGCATAACGAGATTGAGATAACATATACTACAAAGTGGAACCTATATATTTTAGTATAGTATCCACATGTGCAAGTTTTCAGCTGGCATGTGATGCTGCATCAGAAAAGGGGTAGAGAAATGCGCGCTTTAATGTTCATATGTGTGCCTACTAAGCTTCTCTTGTTTCTAAACAATTTTTTTTTGTTTTTTTTTAAAAAATTAAGCAAACAATCCCTTGCCGGTAAATGAAGCAGCTTCTCGCCGGAAAATAAAGCATCTTACACACCTCGCCAGAAAATGAAGCAGCTTCTCGCCGGAAAATATTTCAAAAACATTAAAAAAATATATATCATTTTAAAAAATGTTTAATGTTCCACTAACAAGCAGAAATTAAGAGAATGCTAAATCAAGATGTTAAAGAATGCTAAATCAAAAATACTATACTAACACAAGATGAGATAAATGAAACACATTTTAAATAAAGAAAATATGAGATGTCAAAAAAATACCTAATTTATATAATTTGTAGGGACGAATTGTTATGTTGTCGGGTTGTGCTACTCCGAATTTTTTATTTATTTATTGTGGGGCCGCTTCATTTGTCGGATTGGGACCATCAATGTTCATCTTCAAGTAACATAAAAGTCATTAAAGTGAAAGAAAAAAGGAGAAGGTGAAAAGATGAAAGTAATTTTCTATAAA